TTGGATTATTTAACTAACGATTAGTACAACCACTGCTACTGTACAACCTCCATCACTGCTGGAATGTAATTAGCCTATTTACTGTACTTCTACTTCACCACTTATCTGAGGCAAATACTGTATTTTTATTAATTTGCCTGATATGACCTGATGCCTTTTAGTTAATTTGGTTTTACCTTCTTTTTAAGCAGATTTCCTTCCTGTTCAGTTTGAAAACTACACACGCCCTCAAATTTGCATTAATTTATATTGAATTAGAATTGTCTGATTATAACTAAAATGATTAATTGTTTCCCTTATGGGTTGAGGAAATTCTTCTACTTGTTAAAATGAATAAAAAACGTCTTTCTTCTTCTCTTTGTGTTAGCTGGGAAATGCATTGTCACAAAGCAGAAAACAGGGTTGTTTTTCTCTTTAGAGATACATGCTTCTCACAGGACAGTGTCACTACCAACATATGATGATCTTACAGAATGATGCATTGCTGTAGTTAAAATACCCAACAGTATTTAAAGTAGTTAAAATTAGCTCAACCTTAAATGTCTACAGCAGTAAAATGCAGCATACACATTAATTCAGCAGTAATATTTATACAAAAACATCACATATATAATAGTAAACACTGTCAAGGAACATTTGACTGCATATAATATCACTGAAAGTCTGAAAGGTTGTACTGTATCTTTTGTAGCATGGGGCAGTATAAGGCCATACACTGTGAGACAGTGGTACAAAAAACTCTTAATTTGTATTTTATAGTTGACAGTGGAGATACTGTATGAAAACGTGGAAGTGAAATGACAGTGAAACATAAAGCATTAGATTTTATGTAGTAGGAGAAACCCTGCAGCATGCACAAGTGTATAAATACACGTTATGTACATAATATGTTGCATTGTACATCTCTGGGTGATTCCCTTGAATGGAACATGCCCAGACTTTGTTGTTTCTGCCCTTCAGCTCTTCTTTACATTTTATTACCCTGTGTCAACATGTGGAAATAAAATGAAAAACGATTTAACTTGAGGTGATAGTTTGGGTTTTACCCATCAGAGCTATAATTATTTCTCCTTTACTCATTGAGTTGTAAAGAACACTAGTTGTTTTATCATAAAAGACAAGGAAACTCCGCAACATCAGAGAAAACAAAACCCATGTATTTAGTCATAAGACTGTTAAGTTCTTTCAAATTATATCCCCTTTCCACTTTCTAGAGTTTTGATTTATTTTGAGCTAAAGTTATCTACATTCCACATCATCTAATACATGAAAATATCTGAAAGATAATCACAAACAAAACATAATTAAAAATGAAAGCCATGATGAATGTTTACAGTATGATTACTGTAGTCAGACAAAGCACCTGAATATACATTTTAAATTAACAAGACACCACCGTATCTTAAGATCCGTGTCTCTCTT